TTGCCATATTTTCCAGAAACACTGGACCTGCAGTATGCAGGAGGCCTAAACAGGTCAAGGATGAAGCCCCCCAATGACATAATTTATTGTCTGCACCCCAAACCGGACTCCCTGTGTGTTCTTGTGATTCAAGACAGGCTCCAGTCAGTCTACACTAGAGCACAAAACTGCTTGTGCAGCTAAGACTGTCGTAGATAAGCAGACCATTCTGTCTTCATAGTCTAGTAATTTCTAAGGGAAAAGAATTCAGTGTTTGCCATCTTAATTATTCATGATTTCTCCTCCCCTGCCACTCCCATTTAGGTGGAGATTTCTGTTTCTCCTCTGTCTCAATTTCATAAATGTCCAAGTTTGTTCGAATAGTAAACTCTTTGTGCCTGCTTAAGGTTCCACCCGCATGTTCGTTTCTCTTGTAATGAATCTAGTTGCAATGCAATGTCTCATAGACTTGTAATATTATTTTTGCTTAACAGTCTTCAGTAATGCAGTCAGGTCAAGTCAGGTTATCTTTTTAAAGGGCTGTCCCTAAATGAAAGTGGTCTCATAAAGTAGGCTCATCTTATGCTTCATAAAACTTAAATACTGGTTTTCTGAATTACCCAATGACAAAGAGGGCCAGAGCTCTAAGCCAGAAGGGACAAGGAAGAGTCGGGAAAAGAGTGTAAAATAACCAAGGCTGCTCAGAATGCCAGGCCTCAAGGGCTCTCCCACATCCTCTTTTAGGAAAAGCCGAGAGACAGCAAAGGGAGAGAAAAGGAATGTAACAATTAGGTAAGCATGCTGAAGAAAGGTGCCAGGGACCAGGCTAATGTACCTAGAATTGATCACCTATTATGTGTAAAGTGCTGGCTCTTATACTCAGAGAGCTAATGGGGGGGGGGGGGAAGAGGAGGATAAAGAGAAACAAAAGGACAGACAGAAACACACCCCAACACCAAGTTAAACAATGAAAGTGTGACGCAATAATAAGACAACACAACAACCCAAGAAAAGTTTCAAGGCAGTAAATGATTAATTTAAAATGCCAAGTGAGTGATAGAGGATAAATGCTCTCAGTTCTGGTAGAAAAAGAGATCTCCTTAAGGAAACAAAAGAATCCTTATATGCAGAGAAGTGGGGACTTCAAGTGTGGAATGTAGTATACACTGTCACTTGGTTTTGTTTTTCTTTTTTTTCTTTTCTTTTCTTTTTTTTTTTTTGGTGAGACAATCCGGGTTAAGTGACTTGCCCAGGGGTCACACAGCTAGTAAGTGTCAAGTGTCTTGTCTGAGACAGGATTTGAACTCAGGTCCTCCTGACTCTGAGGCCAGTGCTCTATTCACTGCACCACCTAGCTGCACCTGTTTTTCTTTCTTACAAAAGAGCAAGGTGTACCCACAGAAGAGTGCACAGAGCCTGGAGTCAGGAAGGTCTATTTTTCAATCCTACTAGCTGTGTGATCCTGGGTAAGTCACAGAATCTCTCTCAGCCTCAGTTTCTCTTTTGTACAATGGGGATGACAATAGCACCTACCTTACAGAGCTGTTGTGAAGATTAAATAAGATAACTCACATAAAGTACTTTGCAAACCTGTTAAAGCACTAAGTGCTAGCTATGATTATTATTATTATTATCATTATTATTATTGTTATTATGAAGGTTCAATTGAGAGGGATTCAAGGAAAATAACTATGGTGTGAAAAAACACAAAGATAAACTTAATAATTAAGATTATTATTACAACAAAGTTTCCGTTGAAAGGGATTAACATGGAAACAAAAAGCAATGATAAACTTAAAAATAATTATTGCTGACATTTACATAGCACTTTAACATTATCTCATTCACATCTGTTATCTCCTTCGATCCTCACAGAAGCCCTGGGAGGTAGGTACTGTTATTATCCCCATTGTACAGATGGGGAAACTGAGGCCGAGAGAAGTCTTGACGGCCCAGAGTCACCCACCTACTGTCTGAGATAGAATTCAAACACACATTTGACTCCAATCCAACACTCAATCACAGCTGTGCACAAAGTTGGGCTAGGACAGCTTCACAGAGCTGGTAGGATTTGAGCTGAGCCTTATAGCATTTATTGGGAGATTTTGAAAGTCCAAAAAGAGAAATGAAGGGGGATGGCCAGAAGCAAAGACCCAGAGGTACATAAAGGTGGCCCACTCTGATAAGGGAAGTGAAGTCAGAAAAGGTAGGTTGAGGTCAGACAGTGACAGGCCTTACACCCCAGACTGAGAAGCTTGGATATACGGGGCCTTCCACAATCTGATTCTAATTTACTTTTTTAGCTGTTTCACATTACTCCACTTCAGGAACTCCATGTTTCAGTTCAACAGGATTAACTGCTCCCCAGACTTCCAAAATCCATCCCTACCTGTGTGTATTCATCAAGGCCACCCCAACACACCTGAAATATGCACCTTCACCTCCCTCTCTCTGGATCTTTGTGGTCCTTCAAAGCCCAGCCAAAAGGCCACCTCCTCTGGGCAGACTACCCTGATCGCTCCCCTCCCAAAGTTGTAAGTGCTTTCTCCTTTCCCAAATTACCTCATATTATACTCCTTGGTGTACGTATCTGTGTGCACTGCAGAAGCTGTATACCACCTACCCCAAAGGGTAGCTGTGCAAACCTTTAAAGCATTATATAAATGGAAGTTCTCATGATGTTGTATACATGTCCTCACAGGGATCTAAGCTCACTGAGGGCAGGCATCCTCTGCTTTTTGTCTTTATAGTCTCCCAGCTCTCAAATAGGCTGGCAACTAGGTGGTAAAGTAGATAAAGCAATGGGCCTGGAGTCAGGAAGATTCATCATCCTGAATTCAAATCCAACCTCAGACACTTACTAGCTGTATGACCCTGGGCAAGTCACTTAACCCTGTTTACCTCAGTTTCCTCATCTGTAAAATGAGCTGGAGAAGGAAATGGCAAACCACTCCAGTATCTTTGCCAAGAAAACCCCAAATGGGATTATAAAGAGTCAGACAGGACTGAACAACAACCAAACAACAGCCCCTAACTAGGCCCAGTACCCAAGGCACAGAATAGCTTCAAGCAATGCTCCTTGAATTGAGTAGGCAACAGGGCACCATTTCTGAGCAGAGCAATGAGATGCTAAAAGCAGAGATTCAGGAAGATTAATCTGGTGGTGGTGTTCAGGATGGGGTAGAGACAAAAGAGACTGGAGTCAAGGAGACCATGTCAAGGATGCTATACAAGTGTGGACCTGAAGCAGAAAGGGTCTGGACAAATAAAGTGCCAAGGAAAATAAAATTCCCTACCTGTACAATTCAGTAAGTGAGACTACAGTGGTATCTATATAGGCATCCCCCACGCCGTGGCTGCTTTTTCAGAATTTCACAGCTTAAGTTAACAATTCAAAAATAATTATAAGCGGTACTATTTTTAACAATACGCTCTAATAGCAATTAGCATCTGTCAGCTCCCTGAGCCGAACTCCCTATGAGGCCAATTAGTTGGCACTAGAAGTCTACAGGGGTAAAGAGGAGAAAGTAAATATTATGTAGGAAAACACTAATGATTTTTTTAAAAAAATCATTCCAAGAACCTGAAAGCACACAAATTAAAACAGTAGCTAAAAATGCCTAACAGCAGTGACTGTGCCGCCCCTAGCCGGGTTATATTTGGCTTCTTCAGGAGGGAAGGGGGGTGTGCTAGGCAGGCGTGCGTGGAAAAAAAAGGCCATTTTACTGTAATCTGTGTGGCAACATGCCCTTATCGAGTTTTTTAATCTAGTCCACCCCTGTTAGTCACATCATCTCTGGTTCTAAAGAACTTCATAAATACATGGCCAGGACACTCTACTGTGGGGATGTAAGGATACACCTACTGGGTGGGGATGACAACAATACCTAGCCCACAGGGCTGTCGGGAAGATTTCATGAGATAACTCACATAAAGTGCTTTGCCAGCCTTAAATGCTATATAAATGCTAGCTATTATTATTGTCGTTCTTACAAAGATTCAATTGAGAGGGAGGAAAGAACTATGGTGTGAAAAAAAGGTAATGATAAACATAGTAATAATAACAAAAGTAGCGCAGCTACGTGGCGCAGTGGATAGAGTGCTGGGCCTAGAGTCAGGAAGACTCATTTTCCCAAGTTCAAATCCAGCTTCAGACATTTTCTAGCTGTGTGACCCTGGATAAATCACTTACTCCTGTTTGCTTCCGTTTCCTCATCTGTAAAATGAGCTGGAAAAGGAAATAGCAAACCATTCCAGTATCTTTGCCAGGAAAACCCCAAAGGAGATCACAAAGAGGCAGAACACGACTGAAAATCGGAACAACAAATCACAAAAATTCAGTCAAAAGGGAGTAAAGGGAAATTCCCTAAATGGAAATAACTATGGTGTGGAAAAAAAGGCAAAGATGAGTCCTTGTCATGGATTTAGGGAATTGTCAAGAATTCAGGGTATTTTATAATCCAGGAACAAAAACTAAAGAGACAGACAACACCCCACCAACCCCTTTCCAATCACTGCGTATTGGATATGTGTGTGTATGTATCCAGTGTTTATCCACGTATATATCGTATCCCCAGTAGACTACAAATTGCTCTTTATCTCACTTTATATCTTCAGGGACTAGCACAAGGCTTAGAATACAACAGGCACATAATAAACACTTGCTGACTGACTGACTGAGGTAGCAAACATTAAATCAATATAGATGGTTGACAATGAGTATGCAGGTGAGGCAATGTAAAACAAATCCTCTAGCAGAGTTAGCATCAAAACCAAGTTCTCGGTGGTGAAAATAGGCATCTAGGAATTTGAAGCAGTAACTAAAATAGGGATTCTTAACCTGAATCTGTGAACTTTTTTTTTAATAAAGTTTGATTACTGTATTTCAACATTAATTAGTTTCCTTTGTAATCTTAAGTATCTCATTTTATGCATTTAAAAACATTTCCTTCATCAGGTGAAAGCTGCCCCTAAATTCCAGATAAAGATCCTTAAAATGTTCTTTTAAATCAGGCACTCACCTTTAAAGTTGCCAATGTAGAGGCCAGGAAGGATCTAGGGGAAAGAGAAGCACACAAAAATATAAATGTTGGGATAAAGGTTGACAAACGTTCATTGGCATTAAGGAAAGGATAAAGGAGGTCGTTCAGAGTATATTTGGGCTCCACAATATTTAGCATCAGCTCCCAGTCATCCCTTGGGGCAGGCCTAGTACTCCATGGCTCCTTTAATCACAAGGTGTTTTAAGGAGTCTGGGATCTGACCCTCAGACCCATTAGAAACCCACTCAATGGGCTTTATGGAAGATCAAGTGTCACAGTCAAACTTATGAGAGCTAAAGGTCAGGGAAATGGCCCCACTATTTCCCAATTTTTTCCCTCTAGGTGATCCACTTTCCAAGAAAAGACCTTGAACTTGAGAGGGGGCCCTGCTACCATCCTCTGGCCTTCTCTTTAAATCTGTAACCCGATGGCAACCCTGGGCATAGGAGAAAATGCATCTGTTTTGGATACGGCACTGGACCGGGGAGTCAGAAGACAACTCTCTAAGTAAGCAGTGTAGAACCATGACGAGGTAACTTTATCTTCCTGGCATCCATCTTCTCCTTTATAAAATAAGGAAGTTGGACTAGATCAGACAGTCTTAACTTGTTGTGTCATGCACCTCTCTTTGGCAGTCTGGTGAAGTTGACGTACCCCTAAATATTGTTGCCAACATTCATAAAAATGTAAGTTACATGACGGAAAACGCTATCCACATCCAATCTGAATACAGATCAAAACATATTATTTCCCTCCCCCTTTTTTTTTGGTTTCTTCTTTCTCGTGGTTCTTCCCATTAATTTTAGTTCTTCTTTACAACATGACTAATGTGAAAATATATTTAACATGAATGTATATGTAGAGCCTATATGAGACTGCACGCCGTCTTGGGGAGGGGGAGAAATTTGGAACTCAAAATTTTACAGAAGTGAATGTTGAAAACTAAAAACAAATGCATTTTTAAAAATAAAAATAAAATGTAAGTTAGAAGATAGTGAAAATAAAGATCTAAGTTTTTTCTCCTATCCAAATTCACGGATCTCCTAACACCTATTCATGGACTCCAAGAAATCCTACACTCGAACACTGCTAGGGTCCCTTCAAACTCTGACATCCTATTATTCTAAGCACAGGAATTAGATTGGTATGGCTATCTTGCCCTTTCTCTGCCCTTTCTCATCAAGGTGATGGAAGACAGGTGTTAACAAGAGTCCCTCAAAATTACTACTACTAACCCAACTCTCTTGGCTTTTCTTCTCTGCCCATCCTGCCACCTTAAATTCCCCAAATCCTTTTTCTTCTCCCTCATTCAATTTTCTTGAATCTGGAAATTCAGATGAGCCCTGAACAGGTACATAAGAGCAGAATGTCACATAAAACACCAAGGGCTTTCCTCCACTCTTCCAAAAATCAGATTGTAGATACAATTAAGACTCCAAGTGTATGTTTTACACACACACACACACACACACACACACACACACACACACACACACCCCTTAATTTCACATCTGAGAAGCTTTCTGATTTGCCAGCACACCTCACTAGCATTCTCAAATCCATATATGTCCAACAGTTTAGGGTGGCTAAAAATATTCCAGCTCCAATGTATGGTATGATGTTTTTTTAAAGTGCATACCGAACATGCCAGCATTAATGACATTTCCCTCCTGACATCCCAGCAACACCCTCCTGTCAGCACAGGGGCAGCACAGACTCTTTCAGACATTACTAGTTCCAAGTGAAAACCTCCACTCATTTTATTCCAGTTCAACCCACTGAATGCTGTGTGCTGGCTTCCTGCAGGACTTCCTGATGAGATAAAGATGGTCCCTGCCTCAGTATACCATGCAGAGAATCACTACTAGAACAACAAAAGCCACCTCCTCCAGTTTTATCAAACGCATGGTAAGATGCCTACTTTTCTAAGTTTATTTCACATTATTCTCTGTCATGCAACCTGGTTTCAAGTCCTCACTGTTATTTATCACCTGTGTGATCCTAGTCAAGTCACAACCTCCCTGGACCTCAGTTTCCCCATCTCTAAAGAGATAGGTTGGATTAGATAGCCTGTGGGGTCCTTTCCAGCAGCAGAACTTTGATCTTATAGGTCAGGTTCCAATCATGTCTCAGACACTTAGCAGTGTGACCCTGGTAAGTCACCTCACCTCTCCACATCAGTTTTTCTCCTCTGAAAGAAGTTAGACTCACTGGGTTTTTAAAGTCCCTACCAGCTCCAAATGTCTGACCCTGTTTCCCCAAATCTGCCTTCCATACCTGGAGAATCTTCCCTTCTCACATCTTCTCACCCCAGCCCGCGTGACCAACGAAAAACCTGAGAGACAGAGTTTCTGGGTAATTAATAATCATTTTATAAATAGGGCTACCTAATAATAAATTGATGGTAAATGGTTTCTCCCGGTAGCCAAAGACAAAGACATGAAGAGACTGGAAGCTTTAACATACTTTTAGAAAAGGTGGTGCCCCTGACAGGTGAAAATCAACTCTGATTGGTGAACAATTAATGAGGGGGTAAGCTAGAAGTCTTCGGCTCTTCCTGCTGAGAATGTGGCTTGATCATGAGACTCAGACACCTCCAACAATACGGACAAAGGAATCTACTCTACCCAGACCACTCTAGTGGGTTTTCTCCTTCCTGAGCTGGGTCACCCTGAACTCCAATGGAGGGGTGCAAGGGCATGAGATTATTCCGGCAGGGCAAGAATTCACCTAGATTAGATTCTGTTTATACTTCAAACAGAAGTAAGGTCTCCTGGTTGGGTGGAATCTGGCCCAAGATAGAGAAGCAGATAAACCAGCCCAATTTCCTCTATCAGCGTGGCCTTCAGACAGTGGTTGACTGACCTACAGGAGCTGGTCCCTGAATGAGGAAATAAAAAGCCCGGATCCTAATTAAAAATGGGTTATTAATATAATAGAAAATAATCCTTTCTCTCAACTCCTTTAGGAGAGCTCAAACGCCACATCATAAGGGAACTCTTCTGTTCCACTGGCTCCTTTTTCTCATCCCAGCTCCCAAAGCTAGTTCCCCAAGGTCCTGCTCTCAGCCATTTTCTCTAGCTAGAGCCCTGTCCTGGAGTTTCTATCCCCACCTCTACTGTTGATTCTCCTGTCTAAATGTCTAGTGCATACCTCTTTACTCGACTCTCATCTCCTACTAGATTTATAAACTCCCAGAAGGCTGGAACTGGGCTGCCCAACTATGAATGATGGCTTGCACACAGTAGCTAATGAATAAATATTTGTTGAATGAAGGAACAACCACTACAAGAGGAAAACACAAGGTACAAGAGATGCCAGACAGATAAGAGAAGCAGGAGGGTTTGATGACCAGGAACTGACTAGACTTTCTCTCTTGCTTCAATCCATGGGCATCCACAAGGAGGTCACTACACAAAGCCACATCAGAGCAGAGGGACAAGTGCTAAAAGCCAACCAGGGATCCTGAAAAGAAGCGGCAAGTCAGATTTGAAGAAATAACTGAGAAAGAGCAAAAAGAAAATGGGCACTTCATATGCAGTGGAAAGACTTTCATTTCTTAGTGTAAGTTGTTAGAAGATGAAGCTGTGCTAAAACATACTAAAAACATACTAAAACATGTATTAAGGCCAATAAGGGGAAATTATCCATTGTTCAGACTGGGAAATCAACACAGACTTTCAAGAGTCAGAGATGGAATTATGATGGCCCAATAATAGCCAGTCCAATACTCAGGTCACGGCTCCCTTACTTCTATATATGACAAGATATCAAGTTGAGTGGTATGATAGAAAGCTCTGGAGGCAAAACACCTCCAGCAACTTGCTATCTATGTGACCTTGGGCAAGTAACTCATCCTTCCTAAAGCCTCAGTTTCCTCATCTGTAGAATGAAGGGACTGGATTAGATGGCCTACAAGAGGAGGGAACCTGTGGCCCTCTAGGTCCTCAAGTACACGAATCCAGACTTCACAGAACAAATCCCCTTAATAAAAGGATTTGTTCTGCAAAACTTGGATTCAGTCAAAAGGCCCCACCCAAGGACCTAGAAGGCCACATGAGGCCTGGAGGCCACAGGTGCCCCATCCCTGGAAGGTCTAAAGCTTATGATCCTATAATCAAACTAAAAGACATGAAGGCAGTTGGCAGTAGATACCTTTTAAAACTTACATTCTCAGGGAAAGTGAGAAAACCACCTCACCACTACTTCATCAGTTGAGAGGCATTGTGTGACAGCACTGGACTTGGAGTCAAGAAGACCTGGATTCTAATTCCAACTTGGAAAATGCTGTGTCAACCTAGGCAAGTAGATCAACCTCTCTGGGCCTCAGTTTCCTCAACTGTAAAATGAAGGGTTTTGGAATCACTGAGTTCTAAGTTCCTTTCTAGCTATCAATCTATGATCCTATGTGCCTAAATGTCTGCAAAAAAAAAAATCTCATTATGTGACAATCTCAGACGCTATTTATACAAGTAAATGCAAGCAGCCTTACCAAAAGAAAATAAAAAGGAAGACAATCTTCTCACAGAAAGATAGCTTGTACTGAACGACCAGAGGAGGGATGAAAATCTGGAGCAGTAGCTAGTGAATAGCCCTCGAAGTGAAAAAAAAGATGGGCCCCCAAACTAAGTATGGGCACCTCGAGAACTCTTCCATGACCGTTATAGAAATAAACAGCAAGGCCCTGAGAGTGGCTGAGACAAAACCTTAGCCCATGCTACCTCCTGGACAAAGAAGAAGCTCTAACACAGTACCAGTCAGAAAGGGACAAAGAGTTCTCGTCCCTATAAAACAATGGTTGGTGGAGATAAATAGTGAAGGCACTCGCCTTCCAAGGGAATGGCAGCACTTATTAATATTTTGAGCTCTTCCTAATGATTCTTAGCAACAGATGCCTGAATCCTGAGCAATGTTTCCCATTCTCAGAGGCTGTATACCGTTATTAGAGTATATGGCAATTAACTGACCTACTCTCACAGAGATGTTCAAAGCAGACCAAGTGCTTCAAAAAGA